AAAAAGTGAGAAAAATGAGTAAGTGAGTCGATAATCAATACATTTCAAGCGTTATTGAACGAGAAGCCATCTCAGAGAATCCTCGGTAAAGATGCCATCAATCCGGAAGACTACTTGAAATAGTATTACTTGATGATGTGAAAGGAACCTTGGACGAAGGAAAAGAAAAACAGCTGCCGTCAGTCTCGACGACGCACTGGTAAATGCGTGCAAGGTGCTCGGCAGGAAGGCATTGTTTGATCTTGTTCGTTGTTTAATGAGAGCATGGAACCATGACAGAAAGATTCAGGAATCATGAAGTAAGACTATCTTCGTAAGATGAAAGGGAACACTACTGACTTTAAAGCACATCACGGAACTAAAATGCAAAGTCGTCATCAAACTACATGAAAGAGTGCTTGAAAGAAGGCTGAGGAAAGGACCTTATACAGCTGAAAACCAGTAGTTGAGGAACGATCGTATCGATCGTATCTTGTATACCATTTTAATAGACATGTAAGGAATATTGAAAATCATACATGATTTCTTTATGCGGAAGACGATATAATCCTTTGGTAAGTCACAAACGGGAAGACCACGAATAAAATGTTCTTTAATTAGGAACATCTGACGTTTCGGACCAAACTCGGTCCGTTTTCAGAGTACATTAACAACGGCACGTAATATCAGAGCAACTAACTGTATCAACCGCGACCTTGGAACAGACGTCAGCGACACATGGACCGTAAACATCAGACGGCCAATCAAAGCCAATAAAATAGCACGGCACCAGTAATATAAGAAGAAATATTACGTGCCCTTGTTAATGTACTCTGAAGACGGACCGTGTTTGGTCCGAAACGTCAGATGTCTCTAATTAAAGAACATTTTATGCGTGGTCTTCCTGTTTGTGACTTACCAAAGGATTATGTAAGGAATAGTCACAATGACAAAAACGATTACCGATAGCAGAGTTTCTTAGCCTGACCACTTGGAAAGAATATTTGAAGACTACGTAGGCTGTGAGCAGTGTTAACAACACCGACGTTATCAGGATAATCAAGAACGAGAAGATCAAATGAAACGTAGTCTCGTGCTGTAAAAAATGAAATGAGACTGCGGGGAGCAACCAGAAACAAATGGTCGAAGAAAATTGGTCGGATTGGCCAATCCCTAGTGCTAGGAAATGAAATCAATTATGAATCTTGTCAAAATTGAATTATGAATCTTGCCAAAATTGTTAGATTGCTTTTTGCTTTATTAAAGCGAAAAAAAATAGTTGAATATGTTGGTGACTGCATTCCTCCACTGCGGTACATCGGTCAACCCTCGGCAATCGGACCAGTTGCATATTTAACAATTTCTAACTGAACACCAGATGGAAAAAGATTCTCTGATTTTGTGCGAAAACTTTTTTCGGTCGATCGCGAGTGACAAGCCTGCCTCAATCGCGGAAACGAGTTGAGAACTGACGACTAGACGATAGGCCCCGTTGAATACGACGCTGTCCAGCAGGAAGGTTTCGTCATTGAGGAATACGGCGACTAACGATCCCGCCTGTGATTAATTATCGGTCAAGAGAGCGAACTGTTCGTTGTGTTGACGTTGAAACAAGATTTGTGTGATCGATCCTCCGACTGGCAAGCACATACGTCTTCGCCGCATTTTTGTCGCCTCTTTGCACGAATCCAACCGATTCGAGAGAGGGAGAGAGGGAGGGAGGCGGCAGATAAGGAGGAGGAAAAGTGAGTGATGACGAGAAGTACTTTCAACTAAAGCAAACGCGACAACTGTTTGCTCATCGAATTAAGACTCACGTGAGATGTGTTGCATGTGCGCAGAGAGACAGGTGGTCAGTCGATCGTTTTGTCAGTGATTGTTTCAGTTTCTCTTAGCTTCTACCTCATCGCTACGGTCGGCAACGAAGTCGGTCTGCAAAGAAACAGAAACCCAACGACGAGGGTTATCCGGTTACTCTTGTGAGGACTCTGTTTCCTAGAAAATCGCGCCGCCGTATTGACAGACTGTCAAGTAAAGTGATTAACCGCGGACAGGCTGTTCGAGCGGGAGAAGCGTTTCGATTGCAAGTTCAAATCCTCTGAGTGAGTGCTTCAACTTTTGTTGGAGGCTCTCTGCGAGGCAGTTAGCCAATTGCTCAGTTGATTTGGCTTGCAATCGACAAGCCAAATTTTGCAGGTGTGAATTTTGAGCGAGTCATTCGCCGTTCATCATTACGAAATTGATGAGGACGATGATTGCAAGTTTATTGTGAGTTAGCATAGCTTTAAAAAACTAATCCATGGTTCTGAATGGAATCACTAAGCATAGAAGCGGACATACTTACATGTATACGTATAGCATGGGTCGGTAAGCCAAAAGGACATAAAAGCTAAAAGCTGCAGTTCTCTGTGAAAGTCGTGGCTGATTATGGACGTTGCTTAGCTGACAAGGCATCGAAAGAACTTAGGTGAAGACTTTTCTCCGACTCTCCCCTGAGGTAAATTAGAGAACGCCACGTTTTAAACTCATTACCAAATCGATCACAATTGTTAAATAATTTCCAACAGAACCAAGTCCAAAAATAGTAACCTTTGCACCTCTCGCACTGTGTTACTTTATCAGCCT